TCAATAATTTCTATTCTTTTCTGTTAGAGGAGAAGTACCTCAGGGTACCCCATATATATTTTAAAATCCTTTTTCGAAATCCGATTATGGGATCCATGAGAAAACAATCAAAATCTTCAATCTGCAAAGGCATCTGCACGACATGCTGGCGAATAATTCCACCACGTCAACCGATATCGATGATAATATTCATTTTAGTTTGTTTGTTGAAGTCAGTTTATACATTTAAGGTTTCAATAAAATGTTACAAATGAGCTAAAAGTTCAGCAGGTATTAAGATAAGGCTACTGCAGTCCATGGTCTCGTACAAACTACAACCGTCATATATCGTATTGTTGACGGCGATTAATTTGTTATACATGTCTATGGTTTCCATTACGTAAGTAGTACTATTGTATAAACTGGAAATAAATGATTAATAAAGTTGTTTGCAATATACTCGTATTCTTATTCTTTCATACGTGGTAGAGCCACGCTGCAGCTATATTAATAGTATAGTTGTAGCACGAACGGTTCAGCTCGACCGGGGAGGGACCACGCTGTCACAGAATACCAGCGTCAAATAGCAGCTTAATGCTGCTGTGTTTCGTATGGTGAGTGTAGAGAACCGGAGACCCTTTTTACTAGAAAAGAGACATTCCAACTTATTCCTCACGGCTGAAAACGCATCTTGCATTTTATTCGCAAACGAGATAGATGTAGATGTCTATGGGCCACAGCAACCACTTACCATCAGGTGGACTGTGTGCTTGCTTGTAACACTTATCCTATAAAAAAAAAAGAAAAAAAGATGCGCTTACTGGGTTTAGTGTGATTCCTCACTAAGTCAATATAAACGCGACTTTCTTAACCTAGTGTATTTTCATATAAACGCTCGGCTGTAAGGCCGCGTTGTTGATGACTCACATCATAATGTCAAGATCCGCATCAAGGCGAGATTGGCAAAAAACGGGGACGCGATAGTTCGCCCGATTAGGGCCACCACGAATCTACCGAAATAAAACTAGAGGAGTTGCGATTGTAATTTACGATTATGCATCATTTTAGTGGCCACAATAGCGTGTAGCGACACACGTATTATATATGCGAGGTGATTACTGACGAGTGACGGCGCTAATATAGTTCTTTAAAGCCAGTGGCCACTCCACCGGAATCGAGGTTAGTTGTGGTTTATTGTAATCAGCTCTGTCTTTAATTAGACCATTCTTAAAACAAATGTTATTTATTCAAGTATTAGTAAATGTGAGGTTGAAAAAAATAAAATGATTCGATCTGTTTTTTAAGGTCCCATTACCTCGAGAAACAAGTATAATTTTTTTGATCAAATTATACAAGTAGTAAAAGCAATTTTCGTAAAGCAGAAAAACTGAAAATCATTTTGATTATAAAGGTATAATATACAAATATAGGAGATCCCAAATGGCCGAGGGTTAGGGTGAAAGGCAAAGAAACCGGTGGAGGATGCGGGCGGTATCTATGAGCACCACCTTTTGCATTTGAGCCCAGAGTGTTTGCTATATTATTATTATTATTATAGTAGCAAATCACATTTTATATCATAATAAATAAAAAAGTCCATCGTTTTCATTTGTATTTTTATGCATACTGTACTCTGTTTGATGATACTTTGTCTTATATATATTAATCTTTATATATAAAAATTACGTGTCACGTTGTTTGTCCGCGATGAACTCCTAAACTACTGAACTGATTTCAATGAAATTTGCACACTCTGTGCAGTTCGGTCCAACTTGAGAGATAGAATAGTTTTTATCCTGATAAGTAACACTCAGTATTGGTTTATTAATAATTTAAGGACTTTTTATGTGAAGGGTCGTCGAAAAGGGCAGTACAACGTCTGCCTGGCCAGCTAGTATTAATATAAAAATTTGTGTTAATTAAGGCGTTTGGATGATCAAAAGTTGGTTAGCAATTTAAATCTTTTACAAATGCTTCAGCGTCTAACAAATTCAGCAGCTTTCCTTACTCCCTTACATTGCGTGTATGCGAGTATGACTCCCAATACCGTCGCGGAATTTACCGTCGCTCTATAGATATTTTAAATATTAAAATATGTGTTGGTAATAATTAACCAACGGCAACTGTTAAAAATTGTTAACATGAAACATATCACCACCAGTGGGACGTATTAGATCCACTAAAGTACCAACAAAATATCATTCTCATGCCATTCAATATCATTCATAAATATCATTCTGATAATTTTGTTGCTCTGCTAATACATTGAGACTCCGATAATATATTGATTTTTACATAAAAGCGTCAATGTTATTGTGATATAATACAGTATACGAACATTATATGCCGTGAAAATAGAATGGAGTATTTGTTATTATATAGATTATTATTTATTACACAATAATTATTGAAAGTAATTTTATTTACCAATGGTTTGGAAAATACATGTCTTGGGAAGAACCAGCAAGAAACCCATCGGGATTATATTTTTTAGACTTATATAATTATATAAGTCAACAAAAACTTTGTGCTATTTTCCATATAAATTATAATAGAACCAGCATGGTAGCGATTTAGGTGATGAAAACATGGTGTACCTATGCATCGGACCAATTCGTCTTACGGTATTCAGGCTAATGTCGGGTTGCGCAACGATCCGATTTTCTATGTGGAACGCAATTACGAGTGTCAAGGGATAAATTAAACTTAGCACATTCTTTATAATATTGTTATAGTTTAACCGAATTGATAATGTGGTAGAGCCTTGCTGCAGCTATATTATGGTTGTAGCACGTAAAGTTCGGCTCGATCGGGGAAAGACCACGCATCCACAGAATACCAGCGTAAAATAGCGGTTTGATGCTGCCGTTTTTCGTATGGTGAGTGTAGAGAACCGGAAATCCTTTTTACTAGAAACGAGGCATTCCATTTTGGTCCTCAGGGGTGACAACGCATCTACAAATTAATTAAAGATAGACTTAGTAGTCTTGGGGCACATCATCCACTCACCATCATTTGGATTGTGTTCTCGTTTGTCACCACTATTCTTTAAAAAAATGAACAAATCCGAAGACAAAATATTTAACATCATCACCATTATTATTACATCCTTTCACAAGTCCACTGCCTCACTTAAGGAATGCAACAATACACGGTCCTATGCCACCTGCATATATTTTACCCGGGGGTGCCACCATACATTATTTCGTTTACCGTTATGAGGTTGCCACTCGAGATTTCCTTTCGGTTTCTTCGAGCTTTAGGCCGGCACATTGCCATACTAACTGATCCGTAACTAGACCGTAATGTGGACCGGCAGCTCGTAGGTCACTATAAAAAATAACAATTCTTTCGTAATTAGTTGATGTTGATTGACATGGATACTGGTAGCTCAGGATCCATGATGTAACAAAGTATGGAGGTAAGTGAAATTGAGCGATAGTTAATAGCGTCAGTACGGTTGCCTTTTTTGGAACATGCTGTGCACATTGGCTATTTTCCAAGATTTGGGCACTATTCCAGTTTTAAATGAGAGGCGGAACAGTAAAACAGAAAACAACATTGCCTTGAACACACAACAACAACACACCCGGATTGTTATCGGATGTAAAGATATGCTGGGCATACGCATTGGAGTGGGAAGCAAAATGATTGTTTTGATTGCATGGTGTACATATATCAACAACAAAGGGATGAACCATCGTACAACCAGAGGTTAAGCAAGTTGCCAAACCTCTGGTTGTGGGTCTGGTCTGGTCCTAAGGAAAATATATTAAACAGGCAAATTTAGTGCATACAATACTACTACTATACTAAAAATAATATACAAAATGTTACGTAAATTATATTAAATAATACAATGAATAAAAATAATACATACAATAACAACTAATAAAATATATAAACTAATACTAATATAATAAAATAATATATAAGTAATGATTAACAGGGTGCAAATAAATTATCTCTAACACGTTTTTAAATAAATACCAATAAAGTTTCTGAATTTCTTATATATTTTTTATCTAAAATAATGCGCATAAATTGGATAAATATTTGAGAAATAATTTGATTTAGTATCTTCTCTATAAAAATCATTTATTGTCCGTTAGTCTCGCTCAAACTCAAAAACGGCTCGACTTTTGATGAAATTTTGTGTGTGTTTGAATGTATCCCTAGTTTAGATTCACATTTGGACCCGGTAGGTGGCGCTGTTGTCGATATCCAGAAACCACCCGTGCTAAGCCGGGGCGGATCGCTAGTAGTATAAAAATGAAATACATAACTTTTTTAGGATGGAGGATTTTTAACTGCCGGATTTTTATTTTACGATTTTTTAAAGAATAATATAATAATAATAATAATATTTTTATATGATACTATAATATTTAGCAATAACATAAAATAAAATATGTTTTCGACAGTCTTAGTACACAATAATAATTACAAAACTGTATTGTGTAGGTCACACACGTGCGTATACTAGATACCTAATCTGTATGTGGTCTTGCACGCAGTACTGGTGTCCTAACCGCGCATATCGCGCTATGCTGATGTCATTCGGAAAGTTTATGTTTTTGACTGTTGAATCAAACCTTCAGTTTCGCGTAAGCCTTCAGCTGATTTTGGCCGAAAGATGAATGCAGTCAACAGCTAGTAATTCAGAAGACCTAAACAAGTGGACAATATTATACTTTTTCAAAAACTAATGTCGGATAATTATTCTCCATTCATTAGTCCATTACCCGCGTTGGTCGTCGGTATTTAGACCCGGTTTGTTTAATGGTTTAACCTCCATTAACAATGTAATAAGAAATAGGATTAAGATTAAGAAAAAATGTTTTTTTTTAGACAAGTAAGGGTGGAAAAGAAGAAGGAATAGAAAGACTTAAAGAGTTCAACGTGCATGTATAACCAGGTTTCAAATGAATCGGGTACATTTTGGACAAGCATTTGGAATGAGTAGGGATTATAAACTTTTTCATTATAAATACGGTATTGATAATGGCACTTGCCTACAGGTGGGGTCGGGACGGTGCAGCTCGCCGGGCACGGGTCCCCTGTCCCCGGCGGAGGGACCTCGCTGGCCTCACGCACACCACTCTCACCCATTGCACCACGCATTGCTGTCGTCAAGCGTCAAGCGCGGCAAGGAGATGTAAGTATAGTTTGTAACACGCCGCGGAATGGTTTACTAACAAAGAACGCTAAATAATGTCCTCCAGACTGAATTTCGATCACAGCGGCCAGCCTCAACAAAGACAAGCAGAAACAGCAGAACTGGTTTGCCCAAGTGTATGCGCAAGCACAGATGCACTCTATTCCCTTACTCTCATAATTCCATAGGACGGCATCCTGACTCCGAGCAGGTCCTGAGAATTTCTTGACAGATAAACTCAATATGACTGTTTTTTACCTGACCCGGGATTCGATCACGGAACTTCATGAACAGCAGTCGCGTTCACGACCACTAAACTAACGAGACAGTCTCCAAAACACTACCAAAGTTTGTAAGCACGCATATTCAAAAAAGAATTCTCAATAAAGTAACTCAAACTTAATTAACGTTTATTACCTAAGGACTCAACGTTCTACTTAAACACAGTCCTACCTTGCAAAGAGTAGGTATTGGAGAAAAAAAAAGTTTATGAAACAAAACTCAACAACTTACGAAAGGCTTATAGTTTTCATTTTAAGTTTCTTAATTTGCCGAACGTAAAGTTTTATTAACACAGTATTTACATGGGCTTCGGAACTTCGCAATATAAAAATAAGAGGATCGTTCGTAACGTTTTTAACAGTGGTAGAGCCACGCGGCAGCTTTTGCTGTCGCACGGATGGGCCGGCTCGAACCGGGGTGGTACCACGACCTCACAGAAAACCAGCGTGAAGTAGAGGTTTACCTCTGCGTTTCGCTTAGTGAGTGCAGGTGGCCGGAGGCCCTTTTTACCTGGAAATGAGGCATTCCATCTTAGTCCTCACGGGTGACAACGCATCTACATTTTGATTTGTAATAGATAGATGTAGATGTCTATAGGCCGCAGCAACCACTTACCATCAACCTATAAAAAAAAAACGAAAGAAAGGTTTTTGTGGACGCTACCGTGTAGTGGCGTAACACCGTGTACTAGACGTGTAATGGCCGTATAAGAATATCCACTGCCCCATATCATAAAAAAAAAAAATACACATAACAATATGTGTTATCATCATCATAAGGCTCCTCCAATAGATTGCCTCACAAGGGGTAATATTTACCATAGTTGAGTTGTTAAAAGCAGTTTTATATTATTTTGAGTTGTAATTAGCAAACTGCTGCTGCCCATCTTCTGTTTCATTTCCCTCTTACGACACCCACGGTAAGATATGTGGTAGTGGATATTCTTACACCGCCACTACAAATATTTGATAATTAACCCTTTCGCTGTCCCGTGTACTATATTGTGACTAAAAGCCGGACAGTGAATGTGTTAATTGGCTAGGCGTAAATATAAATACGAGCGTGGGTCAGACGTAATTAAGTCTATACACAACATATATATGGAGATCTGCTATAATTAATCTACATAAAATTTAAATCACAGTGTAAAAATATTTTATCTAAGATTTATCCCGTGATATAGATTAATAATATTTTTCTAGAATATTTGTTTATTAATGTGCATCAGTCTGAACTTTAGTTATGTGATAAATGTGTAGATAATTTTTTGGGCTAAATTTGACGTAGGCTATTAGTCAGCCTAGATAAAATACTGGATAATATTATACTGGAATGTTTGTATAATCTACACATGCCACACAAATTACTGATTGAAATACATTTAGATTAGCGTCGGCAGGTGGGGCGAGATAAATGATTAAAATATTGAATTTATGATGCTTTTTATATGTTTAATGTGTGTTTTCGAAGTTGTGTGCTTTTAGTTTATAACTTTAATTAGGAGTTTTTCGGGGAAAAATAACAATTGTTTAATTGAATATACAGAAGACTATACGTTTTTATTATCTTTGTATTAACAGTTATTGCAAATGTTTATTAAACCTAAAAGTAATGTTTAGCTTAAGTAAATAAAATAAGTAATTATTCTTTATAAATCAATTAAATTAAATTAATATATAATGTTGCTATGCCCTATCAGGGCTCATGTTTGGCTCTATTATATCCAACATAAGAACTATTTATAACCACATGAACGCAATAAAATGTTTGATTTTGAGTTTGATTTTAGTCTGTGTGAAGACATGTGTAGAAAAAAATAAAGTCCCGACTACCATAGCTATCTGGAAATTATTTTATGCTTTTTATGAAGGCGGCTTTTATTTTTTATCTAATGTTAAATTTTCCTTTTTGTGTGGATTAACGGATTTCACAATCTCAAGGTTACAACTATGATTGAACTACATACATTCATAACTCCATCCTAGGTATAATAGAAGTCTTTGCTTATTTTTATTTTTTACACTATTTTAGGGGCGCATTTTTTCTAAAAATGTATATGTGACCACAACTATAGTATAACTAATAAAACAGAATCAATAATATCGGTTCACAATTGACATAGTATATTATACAATCATACGTGATAGAGCCATGCTGCAGCTATATTAGTAGTATAGTTGTAGCTTAATGAGTCGGCTCGACCGTGGAAGTAGGTACCACGCTCTCGGACAGTACGAATTTGGCGGATGGGGAGCTAGGCGAGAAAAAGTGTAAGATTTTTCCGTCACGACCCCTTCTGACGTAGTGTAGACGGCCTTGGCGGCTATAAGGAAGCGAGATGGAATAATATCCATCTCCCTCGTGCTTTTTCTTATCTTGCCATGGAAGAAATATAATTTGAAATTACGCTTCATTTTAATAGACGCTAGTTATTTATTTATTGCATGCCGTAATTTGTATTTGTTAATCAATAATAATATAATACGTTTATCAATAACCAATATACTACGAAAGGAACTTCGTTCCAACCGAGTATTCCACGACACTATCGAATGTTTTTTTTTTTATATCTGTAAAATAAAGCAATGATTAGAAATATAGATGTGTTAATACTGACGTGCGCTATCTTTTTTTTTATATAGACAACAAGTCGCTTCAGTGATATTTATTATTGACAAGGTTACAAGTGTCAATTACCGGCAATTCGTAAAACGATGGCCATGATTTTTTCTTTATTTGCATAGGTAGTATTGTTAGAGCGTCAGTTTGTATATGGTGTTAGGATGCGTAGCGAGGGATGTGTTTGTTAAGAACCAATAGAATCACTTCATTTACCTAGCCTCGCTCAGCGCAGCTCTGGTGGAAACGGCTCAGCGGAGCGAGGTTTTTGTATAATGTATAAAACAAGGGAAGGATGTGTGCGAGGGATGTGTTGCGAGGGATGTGTGCTAGGGAAGGACGCAAGAATCAGCGGACAGTGGCGCGCGCGCTCCGCTCCCACCACACCCCACCCCGCTCGCTTCTGAAACGAGCCCGCTACACATCCTCGCACAGGTCATCTGCGCACCGTTTCACAGCGTTGCTACGCATCCTCGCACCGCCTGGCTACCTCGCACATGTCTGGTGGAAACGCAGCCTAATGATTAAAACTAGGTTCGGCCGGTTGCTGTCGAGTAAAACTAGAACTAGTACTCCGAATGATAATTAAAATAACTATGGGTTTCCGTTAAATTTTTCAAAAATACGAAAGGACGTATCAAGTAATATCAGGCGCGGCCGCGGATATTAATCTATACATTCAAATAAATAAAATTGAAGTGTCTGTCTGTATAATCGATTATTAATTTTAAGGCTGTTAAAACATAAATAAGCATTTATTAAATTTTTGTCTGTCTGTCTTTGGCTAATCTTCGTATTGGCTGAATGGTTTGTTTTAAAAACTTCAATAATAGAGACCAATGACTTGATCTAGACTAAACTTTATCGGAAAATCTTACAGATTTTTAAGATTAATAATTATCTTAAATTTAAATAACGCCACATTAATTTATTCTACCCAGGCGAAGCCGTCGTGGGAGTCGCTAGTCCAATTTATAAGTTATTCGCCTAAGTAAATCCAGGTAAACCTAGGCTTGTTATTTATTCTGGCATCTTCCGTACACACCAAATATACAAAATTTGACCTGCTCAAAGTACAAAACTTTATTAAACTATGTTTGTATAAAAATGATTATTATAATATTAAGGAATTTATGGATGATAATAAACCCTGGGAATGAGGTGATCGCTACCAAGCTATTTCTAATTTGTTTTGTGTTGTTAATTGTGTAACATAAAATCATGCGTGAGTGTCGTGGAACACTCGGTTGGAACGAAGTGCCTTTCATAGTATATTATTGATTTCTTATATTTACGCGAAGACTACACATTAAATGAAACTAATTTTTACGGATTTTATCGCGTTTAATTTAACTTTTTAATTCGTGGCCACGGAGGGTACACTGAGATGTTTGACGTCCCGATGTCATAGTTAGCCCGGCTACCTTCAGTTTTTGAATATTAATTATTGGTCCGATCTAGGTACGTAGAATGAGCTTACAGTATCTTGAAGTCTTGCAGTAGTGTGCTTGGTTTTGGATTTAATTTTATTAATTATAGGATCCCAAGCAGATGGCAGCACCCATCCATCTTCCCTATTGAAATTAGGATGTTTTTTAATTTCAATAGCCTCGCGAATCATCCTAGGTAGGAATCGGTGTTCTTTTGCGAGGATTTGTGGTCTATCAAATCTAAAGTAATGGTGGGGACGATCTAGAACATGTCCACACACTACAGACTTCCCGGAACGTCGGTGCTTCAAGTCAGCTACATATATGTTCTTTCACGCGGGTTTTAATAGATCTTTTTGTTTGTCCTATGTAAGAGAGACCTATATTATTATTGATAAACGTATTATATTATTGATTAACAAATATCAATAAATTAATTATTAGCGTCTATTAAAATGAAGCGTCATTTAAAATAAAATACACTAAGATACAAGGGGTAGTGACGAAAAAATCTTACACTGTTTGTCGCCTAGCTCCCATCCGCCAAACCCGTACTGTCCGATAAGGAACTTCGTTCCAAAAAGTCTCGCTGGGTTTCTTGCTGGTTCTTCCCAGGACAGAGGTTTTCTTTCTAACCAGTGGTAATTAAACAAAAGAATGACTTTCAATAAGTATTATTTATAATCTATATTGAATAAAAAAATTCACCATGAACTAATCCAATACACATAAGTTTAACCTATTAATTATTCTATGGTTTAAGTAAGCGCAATTGGCTGCACCTAGGTGTAGCTGCTTTAGCTTTAACATATGTATGTATAAAGATTTAGCTCTCATATGTTTTTCGTTTTTTTCCATGCCTGTTCCCAAACAGAAATAAGGATATGTAAGTATTACTTCGTTCAGATTCATATTTTAACATATATGAGCAGGTCTTTGCTAGCCACACGGGATTAACCCATATGGGACGGTTTTTCCGAAATTGCCACAAATGTTCTGACAAACAAAGAAAAAAGACAGAGCGATGCGTACCTACATTTCAAGTGATACAAAAGCCAAGCTAAAATGCCATGCTTACCTTATTCTAAGAACATGCACTTACGCCATCGATCACTAATAAAAAACTAGATACACAATCAGTGACAAAAAATGTCCAGACCGAATGAGCGCCCACTCGAACATTTGGGTGCGCTTTTAATTTATACGTAGCTTTGTGAATACAACTTCAGGCAATGCGTTTAAGGTTGAATTTACATTAATGTATATTTATTTCCACTAGAATTACGTCAAAACAATTGGCGACAGTTTTTGGAGAACTTTTGCATGGGATTGTGTATCTAGTTTTTGTTAGTGATCGATGACTTATGCATCTAAAATATTTACGGGCTGATAAAGCAAGAAAGGAGAAAGATGCGCGCGTGAGTGCGTCTAGAATTTAGGCATGGATTCGGCATCACGAAATGTACGGTCCTGAGCCACCTGCATACATCGACTTCCTGCATGTCTTACCTCCATCGTCACTCCATCTAGCGGGGGGACGCCATACACTTCGTCTACTTTCGTTCGTGCTTTGTGGCATTCCTTGGGGGAGGATTGTTTAGCAGTGGACTTGTGGTTGTAATGATGATGATGAAATGTACGTAGCGCTCGGTCTATCTTTCCTTGTTGGCCTGAGCGCATGGTGAAGCGGCTCATGATAACAGTATTCCCACCCATTTGTATGCTGCTTTCTCTTGTACTCGTGTACGCCTTTGATATTTACCTCTGGCATACACGGAGGGATATACTACATTTTCTCTACTGCCATTTCTGATTATTGTTGTGTAGTGATGTCTCTATTGAATGCACAGTAAACTCTCACGTCATCCACGAGACGCGATTGACTCTTTTTGTTAAGGATATGTGTGTCAAAGGCAATATGTTTACTTTATCTTTAAATGACAACCGCATTTGTACACGACATCTAGCTGTCTAACGAACGACAGTCTGAAGACCTAGCGGTATCGGAAAATCCGACTAAAAATGCGGTACTTAAGTCCATACTAAATGCCTAACGAAGGGTTGCGCTGCATAAGAACAATGTTATGCACGGAATTACTGACCTAGCTATATCGTTTGTAACGCCCTTTACGAGCACTATTGTAATATATTCTTAAGTTTAAAAGAAGAGAGAGGGAACACTGTAGGTTCGTATTTATAATCGAAAGTATTCAGCGTTGGCTTTTTGTTCTGACTATATAACGTACAGGGCGTTATGAACGTTCATAACGCCCTGTACGAGCATAATTCTAATATCTTATTGGTTTAAAAAGTTACAGTATACGTACTTATAATCGAAAATAGTCAGCAATTGTTTTTTTATTCTAAAATTCAGACCTATTCACAAAGGAAATATAGCAACTTAATTTTTTTTGTAACTGTGGAAAATTCTAAAAACGAATTTACATAGAACATACGCTCATAACGAAATTGTTGTCCGTTGTATGACTGCGGAAACCTAACTATTAACACTATAGAACAGTTATTTTTATTTTTAACCTTTCATACATAATTAAACCCTTTCTTATTACTCTAACTAATAAATAAAGGTCCATTACTTGGTAAACTGATGCTTTAACTTAATTTTAAATGTTTACGTCAACAAGTTATTACTGTACAAATAAGCTACTCATACTTTCGTGTTAGTGCCACTCTGCAGCAGTATTATTTATTATAATGCAACACGAATGAGCGGCAAACTCAAGGAAGCCCCACGCTTCCACTCAGTATAAGGGTAAAATAGCAGCATCATGCGAAGAAAACTGAGGTCGTAATAACAAGGCATTTAATTTTAATCCTCAGGGGTGACAAATCATCTGCATTTTGATTTTTTTTAATAGTATAAGGGTGACAAACGAGCACACAGTCCACCTGTTGGTAAGTGGTTGCTGTGGCCCATAGACGTTGATGTCTATCCACGTTTGCAAAATGCAGATGCATTGTCACCCGTGAGGACTAAGATGGAATGCCTCGTTTCCAGTAAAAAGGGTTTCCGGTTCTCTACACTCACCATACGAAACACATCAGTTTTAAGTTGCTATTTTACACTGGTATGCTGTGAGAGCGTGGTCCTTCCCCGGTCGAGCCGACCCATTCGTGCTACAACTATACTATTAATATAGCTGCAGCATGGCTCACGTATAAAAATTTTATTCGATGATAGATAGAAATGGAGGTGTCTATAGGCCACAGACTCGACTTACATCACGTAGACCGTGTGCTCGTAGGTCGCCCTTAATCATATAAATAAAATATAAATAAAAAACAGTTACTATGAGTGATAGTAAAATTTTAAATTGTTTCTTTATCGTTCTCAATTTCGGAAGCACTGTTCGTGTAATAAGCCAACATCCGACTCGCTTCGGCGACCCAATCTTTCGCAAACATAATCCGGACACTTCAGGCTTTATGAATAATACACAACTACACGGGCAGCTCCGCAAGGTCAAGAGAGAAAACTCTTGAGAGATATAATGTTACAAAAACTTCGTATATTTGCATGCTTTTGTTTCTTCTTTTAGCGAAGTATAGCTTTTTGCATTGGGGCCGCGCGGCGGACACTTCGTTGCCCTAAAACACTCTTCAGAAGTGTGAGGAGGTCTGTGCCCAGAATTGGGACGTATATAGGCTGTGACTTTTAACTTTTTTAACTCACTACTTAAAAATTAAACTCATATTAAAAAGTAAAAACGGACTTCAAAGAAGAAATAAAACATAATTTTCATTAAAAGTTTCGGAAGTTGGAAGTCGCTAAGACATATATCGATGAATTAATATTTTTTTAGTGGACTAAGCCATATCACAATCTCAAGGTAAGAACTAGAATGTCCACTACTTCAGACCCTATTTATTACCTTAGGGGTAGTTAAATTTATATGGGTGGACTACCCATAAGACTTAACCTATTGTACAAAAAAAAATAGCTAAATGGTTAAAAAAAAGAATCAGAAAATATAGCGACTGCGTAAACTGTTACTGAAAAGATAATTTTTTCAATAAATTCTCTATGTCACTTCCACCGCTAAGACGAATAACGCCACCTTATGTTAAAATCCACCAAGCCGCTTAGGCTGCAGAGCGTGTCTAATAAATTAATATACATAGATACATTCGAGAAAAATTACTCTCCTTCAAGGACAGTTAGGTAAAAAGAATAATTGAAATCGATTCACAATTAACCTACCTATGAAAATACAGTCGAATTGAGAACGTCATCCCCAGTGTCCGCTAAAAATAGGTAATTATTTTTACTAACAAATTATCTCTTACTTTTTTTATTAGCAATTTGACTTCTGGACATGGTTAACCCTCATTGCTAGAGTGGCAGAGTGATAGAAGATATATCAAACTGTGATCTTCTATACATTCGATTTGTAAAATACTGGTTGGGTATTTAACAACTCTCTGACAACTCTTTCAACAATGCGTGAAAGCATCTTGTTTGTAGTTACATATTTTTTTTATGACGCATGATAACGTATAAAAAAAAACTGATTTATAATATAAATCTCAAACGAAACTTCGAACTGACATATCATTTTCAGTGTAAATGTGCATATACGATAAAATATCACAGTGAATGACTTAATTCTCCGTGTTCAGATAACATTATGTGTAATGGATGCGTCAATCACAGTGACTGTGTTTTTTATCAAAAAAAAATTATTTTTGTAGAATAGGTACAAAATGCATATATTTTTATGTTGTATATATTTAACCGTGACGGCGAAAGCTAATCAGAATAAATAAATTAGAATAGATTTTTTTTATAGATTTTGATGTATTTCAACCACGTCAACTACAGTGTTTCAGTATCTGATTTACGATTACGACGGTGAAGTCTATGCACACGCGGTTGAGCCACGCTGCAGCTATATTATGGTTGTAGCACGAATGGATCGGCTCGACCGGGGTAGGACCACACTCTCACAGAATACCAGCGTAAAATAACAGCTTTATGCTGCTGTGTTTCGTGTGGTGTGTGTTGAGAACTGGAGACCTTTTTTTCTGGAAACGAGGCATTCTATCTTAGTCCTCAGCAGTAACGACACATCTGCATTTTGATTCTTAATCGAGGATAAATGTAGATGTCTATGAGACACAGCATCCATTTACCATCAGGTGAACGATGTGCTCGCTTGTCACCCTTATTATTTACAGGTTATTTCAAAGTTTAAAAATTAATCAATTTACTTTTCTTCTTCTAGTCCTCTAATTTTATTTACATTTGCAGAGATGGGAGGAGATGGTCCGTGGCGTCGCTGCCCTCTTCCGGTTACGGCACAACGCCGGGGAGTTCCAGTCTGTCAGTAAGTACCTAATAATAATACATTAACCCTATTATACGATATTTTATATAGTATTAGTAAAGTTATTAAGTTATAAATTAAAAAATCAATTAATCAAATTCTCATTACCCTACATTTCCACAGTAGCATTCGGTTAAATCAAATTAATAAACTATATCACACTACATCTACTTAATAATGATCAAAATATAAAGTGTAAATATATTTGTGCTATCCGCTTTACATTAATCTCAAAAACAAATTCAATATAAAATTAAAGGTTAATTATGTTTCATTTTTAATTTATCCCTGTGAAGACATTTGTACTTTACTGTCCTTTTAGCAAAGGCCTCCTCCTCGTACCTCTTTAACTCTTTTCTGTTTGTAGATAGTCTTATCTCGTTCTTTATTTTATCTACCCAGCTTGCTATTTCTCTCTTTTCTCTTTTTTTGAAAAACAAAATTAAAATTGATGATTATCTTAAATCTATATAACGCCACAAGAATAGATCCCATCCAAGCAAAGCCGGGGTGGATCGCTAGTGTTTTATAAAATTAAATGTGTTCTTTCTAAATAATGAAACATAAGTAAAAACACTGGTAGATGAGGTGTGTGCACAATGTTCATAATTTTTTATTTATAATCACAGGCCTTCAGTTATTATTAGAAACAATAACTTTATCGGATAGTGAGTCAATGCACCTACTCATACGCGATGTCGGGCTTCGAGATTGGCGGTTTTGCAGCTTCATTTAATAAGTGGCCAGAGGCTTAAAGTGATCACTAAGCATATTTGTTTTGCACAATACAAATAAAATGTTGATCGGTCAGACTGATGTTAGTCTTCTATTCGATTTTTTTCGACTTGTCCCTTCTTCTCAAAGGAGAAGGGATTTTTGGGCCTGAAGTTAACTAACTGGTTTATACTTTAAAAAAATTGGCTGTATTTTTCTAAAGTTAAATACAAAAAATTAGCTCTTTTTACAACCTAGATTTCGAGAAAACAATAAAATAAGAAATAATTTAGAAAATCGATTGTATATTTTATATTTGTTCGGATTCAAAAAATTTAAATGAAATATCTTCCTTACTTTGAACGATATATTCATTTGGAAATAAATATTATTCGCATAAGGAATAAAATAAACATTTTATGGCAATATATATATTTATTAGTTGGTACCTACCGATAAAGGACTTTTCATTTTGAAACGTGACTTGACAATTTAAACTTCGAAACTATTCACTTATAACAAAAACACCGATTTTCGATTCGATTTGAAACGAGCGCAATATAATCGATTCACGATTTAATTCAGCATTTTAATATCTATTTTTGATCTTGTTTCTGTGTTTACTAGGGAGATAAAATATTTGATTTTGAACATATGTACAAAATTATAATGAAAGTGTAAACTTTATATTATACTAAGGTAGATAATTAGACGCTGACTGTACGTAATACAAATATTTAATAGCATAAGTATTATACAATGATTAAGTTCTTTACGAGACTGGAGGCTACTAGTGCGTTCGGCCGCTGAAGCGAAAGTGTTTCCTCTCGGTGTATTTCTTGCTTTCTCAGAGTCAGCAACTTCACTCGCCTACCGTATTGTGGCCAACATTTTAATATTACGCAGCAACTTCACACTATTGCCGCGATGTTGCCAACACGGCCCTCCTGCATTGTGCCTGCCCTCAGGCGCACACACACCTCGCTTAGCTGAAACACACATATTTAAACATTAAAAATGTGACCTATTGTTATATTACCCAAATTGCTGTTTTCTCTTAAGAAAAACAGAGCTTTGATAGTTTAATTCAAAACACTTTTTGTTTAAGGCTTCCTACAAGACTAACTTTATCAGTTCACGCCCTTTAATTCGTGTGCCTGTTTTCAGTTCATTCCTTTGGTCCTAGGAAAATGACTGTCAGTTCACTTATGTCGTACTAGGCAGTGACTGGGTTAGTCTTTTAGATAATTGCAATTTACTACACGGGTATAAAAGATATATGAAAGAACATTTAATAATTATTTTAAATAATATTTTTCATAATTATTTTAAACAATGTTTCACTATATAAAATGTATATCTTTACCTTGCCAACACGCCTCTTGTTCTCATTATTCAGCATGCCAATCATGAATTTTAATCCATGGTTTTAAATTTTCCGCAGCGGCCACTCCTTTATAGGTTCTACTAGATCTTTCGCTACCTCGCATGTCTTGGACTTCATATCTGTCTTGACCAAGGCATTTTTTTATTTGAAAAGGGCCTTTAAAGGTAGGTAATAGCTTTCTGCTTCGTCCATCATTTGTCATACTTTGAATTTTTAGCAGTACCAGATCTCCTTCATTATACTGCTTAGCTTTTGTACGTTTGATATCAAAGTTTTTCTTTTGGGAGTTAGCATTCGTCCGTATGTTTTTGTCTACATATTTACGCAACTTTGTTACATCCGTAGTAAAACCGTCAACATTTTCAAGCTCAGGCATTAAATTATCACTATCGGTTCGCAACCTATAACCGAAAAATACTTCGCTAGGGACAGCTTTCGTAGTTTTATGAAACGTGCTATTAATGGCTTGTTGTAAGGGTATGATACATTTATCCCAACAATCTTCATTTAAATCTGCTCCCATTGTTTTCATGGCTTCTAAAATGGTCCTGTTAAATCTCTCGACTTGCCCATTAGACCTAGGCATACCCGTAGCCACAGTGTGTAACCTAATATTTTTGTTAAAACAATAATTTTTAAATATTTTTGAGGTAAATGCTGAACCAGCATCCGTTATCAATCTTCGCGGGTTACCGAATATTTTCGATATGTTTTCGAGTTCTTGGATCACATTGTTACTGCCGGTGTTAGTCACAGCTGATATAAATACGAATTTAGTGAACGCGTCTACTGTAACTAATAAGTATTTATTATTGTCCTGAGTTTCTACAAAAGGACCTAAGTAATCTAAATGTAACGTATGGAATGGCTGGGCGTATTTTGGTAATGGATATAGTTCTCCTTCCTTTGGCCCGCCTTTGTTTTTATAATAAATGCACTTTATACAATTATTTATATATTTTTTTATTATGTGTCTCATCCGGGAGAACCAGTATCGATGAGAAATTCTCTCGAATGTTTTGTCGACAGAAAAATGACCGAGGTCATCATGATTGTATTTTAATACCTGCCATATGCATGTTTTTGGTACTACCCAACGTCGACCTTGGCTTGTCCGGCGATACACTTTGTTACCTAATAGTTCATATTTGTTAAATATATCTTTATATTTATGCGCTTCACCAGATTCTAAGGACTTTTTGATATCAGCTATCCGCGAATCCTGAAGCTGAACGGAGAGTAGCCAATCTGCTTCCGTGATAGACATAATTATCTCAGCTTCAGACTTACTTCCAGATTGTAAAGGGTTCCTACTTAATGCATCTACGTGTTGCATGCGATAACCCTCCCTATGGATAATATCGTAAGAAAATTCTTGAGTCGCCAAGACCCACCTAGCAATACGTGGTATTATCTCCTTTTTACTTAAAGCAAAACGAACTGCACTGCAATCCGTAATAATGCGAAAATGACTTCCTAATAAGTAATGCCTAAATTTATTTAGTGATTGAACGACCGCTAATAATTCGAGTTCGAACGAATGGTACTTTTTTTCATCGTCTGTGGTTTGACGACTATAGTAATGAATGGGCTTCTCTACAGAGTCTGAAACCTGCATTAAGATACCTGCAATTCCGTCCCTGCTCGCGTCAGTATATAAAACGCACTCTTTGGTAGGGTCAAATAACGTAAGTATGTTATCCGAAATTAGTGCATCTTTTAAGGTCATAAAAGCACGATCATGTTCAGTTTTCCAGACCCAGGGGACATTCTTCTTTAACAGTTTGGTGAGAGGACTGGACAAGATTGCACAATGTTTTATAAATTTTCGAAAATAACTAATGAGGCCTAGAAATTGTCGCACCTGGTGAACCGATTTAGGGATGGGAAAATCTTTCACTGCATTTACCTTACCTTCACTAGGTTTTATGCCCTCCGAATTTATTCGGTAACCCAAAAATTCTATATCTGTCTTTAAGAAATGACATTTTTTTAAGTTAAGCGTTAGGCCGTTTTCTTTGAAAATTTGTAACACCTTTTCGAGAAGTTCCAAGTTCTCTACCTCTGTTTGACTTACGATTAAAATGTCGTCTAGATATAAAATAATTTTTTCAAATCTAAGATTTCCCAAGACTCGGTTCATCATCTGCTGAAAACATGATGGAGCTCCAGCTAAACCGAAGGGGAGCCTCAGAAATTCGTAGTGCCCATCTTCAGTAATGAAAGCAGTCTTATGAACCGAATCTTCTTTCATTTTTATTTGATAATACCCACTTTTCAAGTCCAAACTGGTAAAAAACCTACACCCCTGAAGTCGATCGATTAAATCTTCGATGCGGGGCATCGGATATTTATCTTTGATTGTGATTTTATTCAGTGCGCGATAGTCGATGCATAATCTTTTCTCGCCGTTCTTTTTATTTACTAGCAGGGCCGGACTTGCATATGCAGAATTGCTTTCGCGAATTATACAGTTTTCTAAAAGTTCGTTAACTAAAGATCTTATAATTTCTCTGTCCGAATACGATGCTCTATACGGCCTAAATTGCACGGGCTTACTATGGAGTAAATTTATCTCCATTTCATGCCCAAGAACCGTACCTAATTGATTTATATTTGAGGCTATGCATTGACGGTACTTTGAAAATAATCTTACTATTTCATCGTAATGAGAGTCTGTGTCAAAATCAAGCCTTAACTCATCCGTGATATTGCAAGTGCTTTCGACGTTTTTCGCATATTCGAACGTAAGGTTTTCACCTATTCTTGAATACATTAGGTCGGGCCCTTCAGTCACATTGCGTCCTATTAATATATCACATCCTGAGAGTTCACTGAGAATGTACATTTCCACATTATTTATTTTAACGGAATCCAATTTAATATTTACACGAACCATTTCCATTACTGTTTTTACACTATCTTTGGAAAACCCTTGCAATATCACATGCGGTTTTAAAGGGAGCCTTTGGAGGTTAAATTGTTTTACTAAACGAGATGATATCAAGGAACAGCTGCTACCGGTATCTATAAACGCGTCGCTAACAAATTCATTTATATATACCTTCTTGAAAAATCTTTGTTTTGAATTATAGAATTTAATACATTTTGTTTCTTGTTGGTCAAATTTGTCGGTATTAATATTTTTCGTATTTCTTTTATGGAAACATATATCTTCTGTGTGGCCCCTTTTTCCGCAAAATTCACATTTAATCGAACATTGAACCCTTTTATGATTACCGCCACAGTTAAAACATTCTAATTTCTTGCGACCTTGTGGCGGGTCAATATTATTTTGATTTGTAAATCGTGCGGGTAGATTAGTTAACAACGGTAAATTAGATGTTGAGCTAAGTGTATGGGTTGTTATTTTAGGACTATAGTCACGAATGTTATTTAAGCTAGAGGGTTGCTTTACTAATTTTGATTTGAAAATCCTTCCGTGTAAAAATCCTCCTAGGTTTTCACATGTCTTAAAATTACTTGCTTCAACTGACGCTGTGATATTATTGTCGCCAATATTTCCTAAGATAATTGATATAATATCGTAGTCCGTAAAGTTTAAGCACAAATTATCAATTTTTGCTTTTTGTTCGAAAAAAAAATTATATAGAGACTGATTTTCGAAAGGCCGTCGCTCAATAATCTCTTTTAGTAACCCGAACATATTTCTTTTTACCCTAAACGTTACTAAAATTTTTTCCTTCCATTCTTTCCACGCCCAAGTTGTCCAGGAATTATCACTACGCAATAGCGATTCGTACCAAACTTTAGCCGAACCTTTGAGCTTATTTAATGCCTGATAACGGATTGTACTATCGGACCAAGAGAAAGTTGACGCAAAAGATTCTATAACATTAAGCCATGTCACAATATTATCATTTAACGGATCAAATTCAGGTATCATACTATGAAGCGCTGTGTGGCTTGTACTTACAGTTTCGGTGGAGTTTTCATTTGATACCTTCATTCTCTTTCGGGTCTGGGGAGACAGCGGCGGTGTTTTCGAGCCACTGCTGCTGCTGGTGCTGCTGCTGGATGATGATCTTACACGTGTTTTCCTGTGCTTGCGTTTACTGCTATATTTTCTTTTCCTACCCATTTTTTTATTGTTTCTAATCCCACTTCTGATGTAAACTTTATATTATACTAAGGTAGATAATTAGACGCTGACTGTACGTAATACAAATATTTAATAGCATAAGTATTATACAATGATTAAGTTCTTTACGAGACTGGAGGCTACTAGTGCGTTCGGCCGCTGAAGCGAAAGTGTTTCCTCTCGGTGTATTTCTTGCTTTCTCAGAGTCAGCAACTTCACTCGCCTACCGTATTGTGGCCAACATTTTAATATTACGCAGCAACTTCACACTATTGCCGCGATGTTGCCAACAAAAGATACAAAATATCAACAAGCTAACATGCCAACAAGTAACGGTATCAGTAACAGTAAACACAACAATTCAAGTAATCGATCTCAGATCTATATGCCTAATATTCACTTCAACGTTGTTGTTTTAACTTTCGTTAATCGTTTTATCATTTTGTTTCCTAAATAACCACAGCTTTTCTTTGGGGATTTTATACTGATTTTTAAGTAATTATAGTGAAAAATAACCTGTTACAGTGTAATTATAGTGAAAAAATAAAAATAAATCCACTACTTCCTTGTGGAATCGATTACCATCAGCGATTTTTCCGGACCGATACGACTTAGGGACCTTCAAGAAAAGAGCCTACTCCTTTTTAAAAGGCCGGCAACGCATCTGCAATTACCCTGGTATTGCGGTTGTTAATGGGCGGCGGTATTCACTTACCATCAGGTGAGCCGCATGCTCGTTTGCCCCCTCTCCTATAAAAAAAAAATCGCCTTTACAGTGTAGGTAACACATAAAATCACTTTTACTTATTCTACAATAACTCAGCTCCTAGATTGAAAAATTTTGCCAGATTTTCAGCAACGAATTGTTTATATATAAGTTTTTAAATGGTCCAAGTTGCATTTTATTAACATCTGGGCCCAAGAATGTATGGAGACGTCTCATTCTCCTTTTGGAATTTTATACCGGTCCCATTACGCATACATTGCCATATACAAAACAAATAAAGTTTGTCGAAATAAATGTTAATGAATTTAAAAAAATTAAATTTAAAATTCAAAATACGTACATAAAAAATAAAACTTAACATAATTTTGCCATAGTTTCTACGCTAGACAGTATGATGTGTAGTTGTGACGTAAGAATACCCACTACCCAATATAATTCCATGAGTGTCGTAAGAGGACACACAGGGAATATGAAACAGAATGGCAGTAGCATTTTTCTGGTAACAACTGTAAAATAATAAAAAAAAAACCCTGAATGTTTTATTCTTACAGATCTTACATTAATTTATTATATATGGTTTCTTTCCCCGTTCTTCTTGAAGCAGCGCGCAGTTATAGTAGTTTTATGGCCCCGTTCAATAAATTTATTGCATGTGTCGTTAATTGTTTTCTAGAGTAGCGGGAATGTCCGTGATTCATTTGTTTAGAATAAACAAGCTAGAACATCCGATTGTTATATAATAGCCTAAGATCCGGTTTTTAAAAATACCACCTCATTCTTTTCCTTGATGAAATATTTTTTTTAATAAAATATATAAATAAATACAAATTGGGGTGACTCATAGCCTATGTTTTGGCAAGGCTATTTTTTAATTAAAAATTTAATTTTTTTTAACCGGTTACGGTCATTGGTTTCTTTGATAGAATTGGTCTTCATTGGTTTTTCTTTACTGCTTTATTTCATTTTATTATACATTTTATAGTCTAAAATTCGACTTGTTACGAAATAATATTCTTATATAGCACGCGGTCTATCTAACGAACGACATGATGTAATGTAACGTGCTAAAGATATAACGTGCTGCAAAACTTTACGCGTTTGCCGACCTCCTACACGCTTACTTATGAATAGCAAGCTATAACATAGCGTATTTAATAACGCGCTAGAAATTTATAGCTTTTTTTTTATAGTAGTAATGGTTAATAATTTTAAAATAAAAAATATTTTTACAGTCGGATCCTCTACTATAACAACCGTCCATATAATCACAATCATAATAATCGTATACCACGCGGTAGGTTCAGTTTCGGTTCTTACATCCTCTTAAGGATTCTATTTATTATTAGACAGCTCCGTGGCGCAGCGGCTTAGCAATGAGTTGCTGCCCTGGGGGCCGCGGGTTCGAATCCCGCACGGAACAAGTATTTGTGTGGCCTACAAAAATAATTGTTCCGGGTCTGGATGTTTGTCCTTGTGCAATTTGTGTTCGTAAACTGCCTCCACAATACAGGAGAAAATCCTAGTGTGGGGGGTAACGTTTTTTATATATATATAAAAAAATATTGACTTTTTGTGTTAAACCCTGCTAAATTCAAATGTTTAATTAGACGGTAGTTAACGTAATTTCGAAGCGATAATTTGAAGATTTCGCTACGCTGCTATAGTGCAACTTGGATTTAAGATGAACACACATGTGACACAGACACAGGGTGACAAACGAGCGCACAGTCCATCTGATGCTAAGTGGATGCTGTGGTCCATAGACATTTATCCTCGATTAAAAATTAAAATGTAGATGCATTATCACCGTGAGTACTAAGATGGAATACCTCGTTTCCAGTAAAAAAAGTCTCCGGTTCTCTACACTCACCATACAAAACACAGCGACATTAAGCTGCTATTTTACGCTGGTATTCTGTGAGAGCGTGGTCCTACCCCGGTCGAGTCTACCCATTTGCGCTGCTGCTATCTATAACTAGCTTAGCTGCAGCTTACCCTACAACGCATCTGCATGTAATAAAAAAAACAAGTCGGTGAAAAATCACAAATGTACAATGAAGCAGCTTGACAAACTATTTCTTGTTTCTTAACTGTCCCAGAAATTAGAAGAGGCCTTTGCTTGGCTACTTTTAATGTCTTATCCAAAAGTCACAATAGTCCTAAAGGATTTCTTATTTATATTTGTGTGACTGTAAAGCATGAAGGTTGTAATTTGCGAGTCAATGTCGTCATAGATGCGTAAACACTAAAAATTGACATATCCAGGCGCCAGGTGAGCTATGTACTGTATTTTCGTCTGGCCGTGCATTCTTTGATATTGCCACAGCGTTTACAATTGTACACCGTTAGTTTAGAGTATAATTTTGCATATATTAGTTACCCTTTGATATTGAATGTGGTCCAAGAAATGTCCATCGTTATTTCGCGTTAACGATCTTGCATAAACACGAGCAGTTGTGGTGACCTGTGACGAGAAAACGACACTTTATGAGTATTTGTTTTGGACGTTGGTTTGGCATACCCTTGTGATAATTACGAAATGAAGTAAGCATGGAGAATCAGATATTTTCGTAAAACACTCGATTGGCAAAGGGCTCACAACAAACAAAGAACTAGGATCAAGGCTATATAAATTGAATAAAACTCATTTTACAGTTTTTTTTTTACTATTATAAGCCAGTGTTTAACTGCTATCCTACCTTATGGTAAGTAGTGATTCAGCCGAGGATGCTAAAGCCCACTGCAAAGTAAAGTTGTAGCCTATTTACGTCCCACTGCTGGGCACAGGCCTCTCGTTTCTGAGAGGGTTTTAGGGCAAGGAAATGTCCGCCGCGCTGCCCCAATGCGTGTTGGCCAACTTCACATGTCTTCGAAATATTTTTTTTTCTTATTTCTCAGACATGCAAGTTTCTTCACGATGTTTTCCTTCACCGTCGAGCACGTGGTAAATCAGCACTTAAAATTGCAATTAACAATTTCACTGGTGCCGGCGGGGATCGAACCCGGGTTGCTCGAGTACTGTGAAGTTTACAGCGAGCGCTAACCATCTAAGCTACCACGGCTAAGCCCA